AAAAAAAAAAATCATACTCAATGATGAAATACAATGTCTGCCTCCTAGACAGGACGATACAAGGATGTCTGCTCTTGTCACTTTCATGCAACACTGTACTTAAGGTATTAGGCAGGGTAATTAGGGAAAAATAAAAAGGTGTGAAGACTGCAAAGGAAGAAGTAAAGCTATAGTCACAGATATCAAGATCTTGTATCTAGAAATTCCTAAGACTACATTAAAAATCTACTAGAACTAATAAACAATTCAGCATGGTTGCAAGGTAAAAGATAAATATTTAAAAAATCGATTTTATTATACACTTGGAATTATACTGAAAACAAAACTAAGAAAACCACTCTATTCACAGTAACATCAAAAAATTAAAATATTTAGGAATAAATTTACCAAAAATCTTCTACTCTGAAAACTACAAAGCACTGTGGAAATTTAAGGTCTAAATAAATGGCAAACATGCCATGTATTCTGTATTGTCCATTTTTCCTTGAAGGTACTCTAGGGTTTTCTGATAGTTCATGGTCTGTTTTGTAATTTTTCTCCCCCTCTAGCAAATTTCCGTCCCCACCCAAACACCTTTTGCCTAACAATATATCATAAGAGTTGTTTTCACATTATTCTATATCTTCATTCTTTTATAAGGCAACATCAACTTCCTTACTGATGGTGCTCCCAGTTTTTTATACATTTTTATATGATTTCATGTTTAAACATTTGTGTTACAGCCTCATTGTGAATCACAAATCAGTAAAAAATATTCCTCCTTAATTTCTGCAACACTTTTGGTATTGAACTTAATCTCATCTATATTAATATCATGTCTCCAAATGTTTTTCATATGTCTCTAGTTTTACTTTTATTTTTAAACCTTCTGAGTCATTTTATTTTCAGTATGCCTGCTATATAGCATGAGACTAAATTTGTTTTTTTAACCTAATCTGAGATGCTTTTTATTTTTTGAGAGGTTTTTTTAAATAGGTGAATTTATCCCATATGTTTACTTATATAGTCTTATTATATACTCTCCATTCTCTCATTTTATGGTATTTTTTGTTATAAATTTACTTTCTGATTTCTTTTTTCCTCCCTCTATACCTCTGCTGCTCCTACCATTTTTCTAAATATTTTGGATGTTTTATAATTGGATTTTAACACTTTTAGAGGTAACTTTTATAATTTTAAATACTATACTTACATGTATATAATATTTCTTGACTCATCAACTTTAAAGATGAAGTGAGATCACTTATACTTTCTTTAACTTCTCTTTATTCTGCTTGTCCCTGGCTGCTTTTTCTCCTTGCTTTTTCTGCATGAATGTCTATAGGAACTTTCTTCTTTTTCTTTGAAGCTTAGTACTATCACCAACATACATCTGGTGTTATAATATATAAATTTTTCCTAAAACTTTGTATGTCCTTGTAAATTGCAGGTTCAGTTTTACTTATGCAGTTTATTCTTTTTTTGTTATCTTCTTTAGAGATACCAACAGACATCATTGTGGTGGATTTTCACTGTTAGTACTCAAATAATTATTTTTTTTTCTAATTGCTTTTATCTCCTTTTTCGCTTAATTGGTACGTTTTTTTCCCCCTCAATTTGTTCTGATACTCTAAATCTTTCTTTACATCTCATTATTATCAACTGTTATTTTATACATTTCATGTCTTCTGTAATTATTCAGAGTATGAAACATTTAGGAAAAATTTTCTTCTTTTGGAGTACGCTTTTACAGATTTTCTTTTCGAAGCTCTTATCTCCTACAACACCCACTGCAGAGTTGCAGTGTTCTGTTTTCTCATGTTATACATTCTTTTTTCTTTTTTTAATTGTGGTAAAGAAACACATAACATTAAATTTAACATCTTAACCATTTTTAAGTGTGCAGTTAAGTAGCATTAACAATATTCACATTGTTGTGCAATCAATCTCCAGAACATTTTCATCTTGCAATATTGAAACTCTATACCCATTAAACACTAATTCTCCCTCCCCTTCTCTTAGCAACCACTTTTCTACTTTATGTTTCTATGATTTTGACTACTTCTGATACAGCATATAAGTGGGATACACAGTATTTTTCCTTTTGTGACTGGTTTATTTCACTTAGCACAATATCCTTAAGGTTCATCTATGCTGTGGCATGTGACTGAATTTCTTCTTTCTTAAGGCTGCATAATATTCAATTGCATGTATACACTACATTTTCTTCATCCATTCATCTGTTAATGGACATTTGGGTTGTTTTCATATCTTGATTAATTTGAAAAAATGCTGCAATGAACATGGGTATGCAGGTATCTCTGAGATCCTGCTTTGAATTTATTTTATTTTATTTTATTTTATTGGGAAATTGGGGGGAGGGGAACAGCGTTGGGGAACCAGGGAAGGGGAAAAGACAAGTTGCTGTCCTTTCATTCTTTATTCTAGTTGCGGAGAATGTCGCTTCACTGGCCAATGTTGGTATTATCATTGCGCTTTTCCTGGGTGAGGCAATCAGTCGCCCGGCCCTGGACGGCCGCTCACGGTGGCTCATGGCAGCTCACACCAGCTGCCAGCCACTCACAGTAGCTTTACAGCAGCCCACTGCTGCTCCACTGCAGCCTACGCCGTCACCAGTGACTCACAGCAGCCCAGGTCCAGGTCTAGCTGTGGTTCACCATCTTAGCTGTAGAGGGCACAGAGTCACTGGCCCTCATGTGGGATCTGAACCAGCGGCCTTGCTGCTCAGAGCTTGCGCTCCCAAGCCAACTCTTAACCAGTGCGCCACTCAGCCGGCCCTCTTATACATTCTTGATGTGAGTAGCTGCACCTGTACTATTCTCAAAATACAATATGGATAGATTATAACTCCTTGATTACTTTCTTTCCTTATCTTGGTATTGTTCTATCTTCCTCGAAGAGGTAAAGTTTGACAGGTAGGTAGTAATGGCTTGTGTCCTCTATGCTTTCCTTTAATGTTAGAAAAAGGGGGCCTGAGTAAACATAAATAGATATGATCTTGGCTCTTTTTTATTGTAATTTTTGAAAAGTTTGTATGGAGGCTTTTTCTCTTTTTTAACCATCTTCTCGAATACCTTTAGGTTTTTCCCTGTTTCAGTACTGAGACATGATACTTCACTTTTAATACTATCAGCCTTAGGTATTTATTTATAATCCTGTTTCTAAGTTGCCAAATCTTTTCCCAGATGTAACAATTATTTTACAAATCACTATGTATATCCACATAGACAAAGTAGCACTGAATTAATTTACGTAAGAAAAAAAGAAGAAAAGAAAAAATGGAATTCTGATTAAATCGTGATGCTCTATTTCATCAGAATGAAATGGAAATACACATAGAGCTGCCTTCTGTTTCTCTCTCTCTTCCACACACATACGCCAACCCCATTACCTTCAACATCTATTTGCGAGGATTCTTTATTTTCTGACCAGGCTTCCTTAGGAACTATCCTCTTACTATGGATCTCCTCTTTCTGTTTAATGGCTTTGGTGTCTGATGGGCTTTGAACCTTTGTGTCTTGTAGTTGAGCTGAGTGCTCTGCAGCAGCAGCATCACTGGAACCTAAGACAGGGCAATTAACATCCTATCCAGGCAGTAAGTTGAGAAAAAAAAATTTTAAATACCTCTCTGGCATCTACTATGTGAAAAGCACTGTTACTGGTGTTGAAGAAAGAACAAAAAGAGTAATCAGAAATGTGTTAGAAACTGTTGATCTAAATTGGAGTTTAAAAAAAACACATACACAAAAACAGATATCATACAAAGTAAAAAAAATTACTCCAGAAGAGAAAGGCAGATAAGGATTTGTGAGTACTCAAAAGAGGAGAATCTAATTGCAGCTAGGAGGATCATGCCAGAACTCTGGAGTGAAGTTCACTAATTTTGGTGTTAGAAGATAATTGAGCTGAGATACACACTGGGATGGAAAGAGAAAGGCATTCTAGGCAAACATGACTACAGAAGAAAAGAATGGAGTCAGGAACTTAACATCTAAGAGACAGATAGAACAAGTATATGGTTCATTTGATTATAGAATTTACAAGGAAAAGAGGTAAAAATTAGAGTTTGAAAAGTTGTTTGGGAGCAGATTCTACTGTTCTGAAAGACTATGCTAAAAAATTTAAGATTTTATTGTTAAGGGCAATGAGAACTTTTTGATTAGGAGATTAACATGATCAAAACTGTTTCTGGAACATTCATTTAGCAACAGCAAAGGGGGGGGGGGTAAAATTCTGAAGTGTTGTCCAGAATATAACTATTGGAAAAAAAGTAATACACAAAACAGGAGAAGTGGCTAATTATGCTCCAAAATACTACACTGTGGCAGATGACCAGCTGTCCTCTGGAGTCCATTTTCCTATTCCTCTAAAATAGAATCCTGACTTTGCTGAACATACAGTTACCAGAATAAAGATTATCTTTCCCAGCCTCTGTGACAATAGCTTAGTGTGACCATGTGACTAAGTCTGTCTAATAGGATGGAAGGGGAATGGTGCATGTATTTTGAGAAGTACTTTAAAGAAGAAATATGCCTTTTTCTTTCCCTTTCTTCCTTTTTGCTGGCTGGAACATGGACCAGATGGCTACAGCATGAGAATGGAAGCTAAAAATATTGGAGCAAGAGGAGAGAGAGCTTTGTTCCCTGACACTCCGAAGTACCATGTCAACCCTGGATGTCTACCTCTGGATGTTTACAAGAAAGAGAAATAATTTCCTGCCTTCTTTAAGCCAACGTTATTTTGTTTTTATTTTCATCTCTCAGAGCCTAGACTAATCCTAACTTAAACTCATTTTACATGCATATTTCATCAGCATTGTCCCACTGAAGCAAAATTAACTGGATACGTAGCTAAGGCATTAAAAAAGCTGAATTCCTAAAGCACAAAGGCTTATGTACAACAATGGTATTAGAAAGTCAGCGTCTCACGGCACTGGATTTTTTTAATCAGTAGAGTTTTTAAAAGTCCACTATAAGAATTTCTGGGAATGAAATTAATTTGTCTATTTGTATACTATATTCATAGCTCTCCAGAAATGTCTCAAACAACTTTAAAAATGTTTTATAAAATATTAGATTTTATATCAGCCAATGTAGATAAAATATTACAGCTAATATCCTACTTCAGATATTGAGTAAATTAGAGGAGGTTTGAAGAGAGCGAGAAGAGAACAGAGAATACTGTTCTGTTTACACTCATTTTAGAAGGCCAGGAGAAAATAATATGCAGATAATCCAGTTACCTACCTGCAGTATCTTTTTGAAACGATTCTTTCTCTTCAGGTTGGGCAGCGTTAGTCACTGCCTTTTTGCTGTAGATCTCCTTTATCTGGATTTTGTCTGAGAGGTTCTCATCTCTAGTGATAAGAACTTGATCTTGGGAACCTGAAATAATGGCATCACCTGATGCCACAGAGAAGGAAAAGATAATAAACACAAAAGGCAAGTAACCCTACCCCACAAAAAACATAAAAACAAAACCTAAAACCTCTTTATATATATTAGGAAAAAAGCACCCCTTAGCCACCCCCATGTAAAAGTTGTGACAGTTATGGTGGGTTTATAATATGAATCGGAAGCTCTCCGTATTTTTCTGTGTACAACAGTGGTTCAAATAAAGTATCACTTTATATAAAACCTGTTTTTTGCTGGTGTGACACGACAGTAAATAAAAAATAAAAAAGTCTAGATCAGGTATCTTTTTCAAAGTAGAAAAGTAGATTTGAACAACCCTCTCAAATTCTTTGGCCTACTCAAAGTTTTTGTTACTTATGGAGCCAATCTTGATATTTCATACACTCTTAGAAAAGCACTTATATCATGTACATTATATATATAGTACTCATGCAATACAAAATGGAATACTATTCTGCCATAAGAAAAAATGAAATAGTACCATTTGCGACAAACATGGATGGGTCTTGAGATTATTATGCTAAGCAAAATAAATCAGACAGAAAAAGTCGAGAACCATATGATTTCATTGATATGTGGTATATAAAACTGAAAACAATAAAAGAACAAGACACACGAAGAAACAAAAACTCAGAGACACAGGCAACAGTTTAGTGGTTACCAGAGGGTAGTAGGGGAGGGAGGTGGTAGATGGGGGTAAAAGGGATCAAATATACGGTGATGGAAAGAGAACAGACTCTGGGTGGTGAACACACAATGTAATATATAGATGATGTATTACAGAATTGTACACCTAAAATCTATGTAAGTTTACTAACAATTTCACCCCAATAAACTTTAATTAAAAAAAAATTTCCTTAAGCTATATATCCTTTTAAACTTATTTAATACTTTCTGTTTTCTTTCTGTTTTTCTTGGTCAAACTTGCTAAATATTTATCTATCTTATTGGTCTTTTTAAAAATCAGCTCTTTTCCTTTTTAATCATATGAGAAAACTCAAGCACAAAATAATGTTAGCAAATACATTAAAAAAATCACAAATACAGTAAAGATAAGTCACAGAACAGTTAATAATATTTATATGATTTTATAATAGGTTGACTAGAGATTCATTTTCTATCTCTAAGTATAAATATTTTTCAACAAAAAAATCACAAAGACAATAGATATTCCTAAAAACTTAACATAAAGAACACCAGTGTGTCTACCACAGAGTTGAAGAAATAAAACATTACAGGGCTGGCCGAGTGGCTCAGTTGGTTAAGAGTTGGCTTAAGAGCGCGAGCTCTGAGCAACTGGGCCTCCAGTTCGACCCCCACATGGGCCAGTGACGCTGCGCCCGAGCTGAGCTGTCACTGAGCTGCCAACAGGTGGCAGGATGGCTCAGCTAATGTAACAACAAGATTGCCTGTTAGATGGTGGGCTACGCTCACCAGCAACTAAGACTGAACTCGGCACCTTGGGCTGAGCTGCCACCTGGATGGTTTAGTGGATAGAGTGCACGCTCTTAACAACAAGGCTACTGGTTCGACTTTCGCATGGGATGGTGGCTATGCCCACCTGCAACTAAGACTGAACACAGCACCTTGAGCTTGGAGACCACAAGCTGCCAATGGGAAGCCAGATGGTGACTGGAGCCCTCCACAACGAAGGTTGAAGAACAACAACTTGGGGAGGGGGATCCCCCTCCCCAATTCCCCAACACTGCTTCCCTCCTCCAATTCCCCAATAAAATCTTTAAAAAAAACAAACATTACAGATATAATGATTTCCTGTGTAAAGACTCAATAATACCTTTCTCTGTTTCTTCAGTAGCAACGTTTATACTGATTTAAGAGTTTATCAATCTCAAGGATGTTTTTGTATTTTTAAAACTATATTGCATGAATCAACAGCGTATTGGATTGTTTTGCACATCTTTAATTTTTTTTTTTTTAAGATTTTTTATTGGGGAATTGGGGGAAGGGGAACAGACAAGTCACTGTCGTCTTGTTCTTCAATCTAGTTGTGGAGGATGTCGCTTCACTGGCCCAAGCTGGCACCATCATTGCGCTCTTCCTGGGCGAGGCAGATCAGTCGCCGGCTTCTGGATAGCTACTCACTGCGGCTGCTGGCCGCTCACGCTGGCTGCTGGCTATACACGGTAGCCCATGGCAACCCACTGCCACAGGGACTGCAGCCTATGCCATTGCTGGCGATTCACAGCAGCCCAGCCCCAGATCGAGCTGTTGTTCAGCATCTCAGCTGTTGAGGGCAGCGTCACTGGCCCTCATATGTGGGATCTGAACCGGGGCCCTCTGGCATCCCAAGCGAGCTCTTAACCATTGCGCCACTCGGCCGGCCCTGCACATCTTTAATTTTATAACAGTATATAATACTCTGTATCTTTAAGCAACATGCTTTTTTCACTCAGTATTATGATTTGGGGATTTACTCACTCTAATATATGTGGCTTTCATTAACTGTTTCTCTATTATCTTTACGGAACACCTGTTTTTTGATGATGAACCTTTTAGGCCAATCTTGAATTTTCTTCTTTATTTTTTTTTCCTTTTCCCTTCTTTTTTATTCTACTTTCTAAGAGATTTTCTCACTTTTGTATTCCAATTCTTCCACTGAGATTTTTGTTTCTGATATATTTTATGAGCTCACTTAGCTATTATTATACATAGGTCACTATTCAATTTCTTCAGGCAGGCATCTTCCCCTCTATCCTTCTTAACCATTTAAGGTGAAGAGTTTGAAGGCTGTGCTTTTCCCATGGTGAAATGGCTGCATAGGATTAAGTCAGGCGAAGGCTTTTCCTTAAGATGCAAAGTTTAAAAACAGACCAACAATAACAGTATCAGTAGACTCCTATAACAGGTGGGAGGTTATGGAGGTCCTTTAGGTAACTGAGCCTGACTTCATTACAAACACATCATCCTTACTAAATACAGCCTAGGGATAAGTTATACCTGGCGAGTTCTTTGTGCAAACTTCTGATGGAATTCCCTTAGTCTATCACTTTAATCCCTGCCAATTTTTCTATATCCTCCCCCTCCTCAAGTGTCTGTCGATGGGATCACAGGACTATCTATGTTTACCAAATTGTCACTAGATTGCACCATCTGAGAGAGAAATTAATCAATTTAATCAAGACTTTCTATGGATACTAGTCTCTAAAACAGAGTTGATTGGATATTGTTTGTTTCAAAGTTGCAACATTTTATTTTCTATAGTGACAATAAAGTTTACAGTTTTCAAAAATCTGTGAAGCATTTTAGAAGATTTTATAAATATTTTACCTTCTTGTATATACCCAATAAATAACTAAGAGAAAAGTCTGTATAACAAAGCAGAAAAAGATACAAACTGGACAATATTCTCATTTAGAATGAATAGTTAGAATGAATAGGGAAAAAAAAGCTATAAAACATGCAAAGCCAATCCACTTACCTGTGTTATATTTCTGAAAGTACTTTTTCCTTGTTGACAGGGGTGCCTTAGTCACTGCCCTCTTACTATAGATTCCCTCTTTATGTTTAATATTAACCGTGAGTGCCAGGTCATCATCTCTTGTGCCTAGCACCTGAGCTGGGAAGTCTGGAGCAATGGCATCATTGGATCCTACAGAAAAATGGGAAAGTAGTATAATTAACATAAATACAGACATGAAGTTCAAGAAACAGAAAAATTTACATCTTAAACCAGTTAAAAAAAAAAGCACAAGGGAAGTATTGTAGGGTAATCAAAAGGAGATGTCAGTCAAACTGAAGCTGTCAGATATGTACGATAAAGTGCAACAATACAAGGTGAAGAAGCAAATGACATAAGAAAACACATATAAAGTAGACTAACAAGTTCAGAAAGGAGACAATTTCCAGCTTTGGAAGGTTTTCAGAGAAGGGAGAAAATAGATTGTACCTTGGAAAATCAATAAAGACATTTCAGGCAGAGGTTATAGCATTAGTAGAAAAGGAGGCAGGAAAGCAGAGTATATAAGAACAGAAGAGGGTCAGCCGAGTGGCGCGTTGGTTAAGATCTGGCTTGGGATGCCAGAGGGCCCGGTTCAGATCCCACATATGAGGGCCAGTGACACTGCCCTCTACAGCTAAGCCGCTGAAGAACAGCGTGACCTGGAGCTGGGCTGCCGTGGGTCACCGGCGACGGCGTAGGCTGCAGTCCCCTGCTGCAGTGGGCTGCCATAAGCTACCATGTGTAGCCAGCAGCGGCTGTGAGTGGCCGTCCGGAGGCCGGCGACTGATCTGCCTCGCCCAGGAAGAGCGCAATGATGGTGCCA